TAAAATAACTCAACCCCCCCCCCCCCAAATACATAGACCATATAAAAATTAAAATTAAAAAAATATTAAAAGCTAAAATGTGACGCGTGTCTTGAGTTTGTCTGATGTGAGTTCTGTTGGTGTCAGGAGGAAGGGTTCAGATACACAAACCAGCTCTAATCCCAGTCACGGCACAAACCGTACCAGTTACCCACAATCCCCCAGGTTCAATGACACACACACACACACACACACACACACACACACACACACACACACACACACACACACGCGCAGCGTCAGTGGTTTGACTGAGTGGCTCATACATACATACTGTACTTACAGCACATTCACGTAAAGCAACACATACTATACAGCAAACTCAACTGCTTGATTGACTATAAATATAACTATTATCATCAAGCTCTAATCTGATCAATGCAACTATAAGGCATGAAGATATTAAGATATTAGAAACATTAACATCATGATTTTCAGCGGTCCATCTAACCGGACGAGAGACAGCTCTTCCTCGTTAACTATAACTAGTCCTGACAGATCTCTACACTGCTTAATCTGAGCGCTCGGAAGTTATTAAGCTCTGCCACGCTCGGTGATGAAGTGCGGGTCGTGTGTGTGGACGGACGCCAGGAGTTTCGTCTCTGTGACCTTAAACCAGTGAATGGAACACAAACACCATAATTGGCCATGTTTAGAGTCGAGACGAATCCTCCGACGCGCCCGTGTGATTCTGGAGTCAACGCATTTATCCAGCTCTGTTTGAACAAACTGCATTTAAAAATAATCAAAAATTGTATTTAAAAGTAATAATAGTTATCATTTTAAAATAATTTAAGCATATTATTTAAAATAAAATTTTTTAAAAAAAATAATTTTTAAAGTATTATTTAAAAATCATCATCAGTATTATTATTACAAAATAATTAAAATATTATTTAAAAATCATTTAAAATATTTAAAAACGATGTAAAAATATTTAAAATAATTTTTATTTTTTATTTAAAAATAATTTATAAAGTATTATTTAAAATATTATTAAAAATAATTTGTAAAATATTTAAAAATAATCATTATTATTCAAAAATAATAAATTTTCAAGTAATCATAAAAAAATGTCATCATAAGAAATAATAAATCTGATGAGAATAAAGTAAATATTGCATTAAATAATTACTGCATCATTAAACCAGATTTGTAATATATCAGCACTGAAAACCCACATCAGTCAAACTTAATGCATATTTGCATTTATACATCTGTTTCTGCAAAATTCATGATCAGAAACGACACAAAAGCAGTTGCAAAGAATTGTCTGAAAAAAACTCTTCTGATGAGAATTAAATATGGCGTTAAATAATTATTGCATATTAAATGAGATAATTTGATGTGGATTTTCAAAGTGCACTACTGATAAAATGCTGATTTAGAGCCAAACTGAGGAGAAAAACATCTTAATGCGTGTTTGTATTCACACATCCTGCTGAGTTCATGATCAGAAATGACACAAAAGCAGCGAAACGCAGCTGAAGAGCTGAAGCTCATAAAACATGATGGATTCAGTGTTTGGAGAGAAGAGCCGTAACTCAGTCACCAGCGTGGCGTCTCGTCCGCTGGAACAGAAGAGCAAAGCAAACAGACGCGCTGCTCTGAGAGCGCCTGACATGTTTACAGGAAGTAGAATTATGGGCAGAGAGATGTTCCTCCTGCACATCAGTAGCAGCTACTTTAAACAGCAGAGCGGAAAAACAAACCAAATATAGTGGTGCTGCGGCGCGGGTCACGATCCGCTTCACACCCGCCTGCTCGAGATGAAGAGACCAACACAATATCAGAGAGAGAGAGAGAGAGAGAGAGAGAGAGAGAGAGAGAGGGAA